TGGGGGGGGGGGGGGGGGAGAGGAACAACTGTAATAATCTGAACAATAAAGATTTAATTAAAAAAATGATGAATCACTTTATCAGTCATTGTTTGCATCACTGTTGTTGTTTTTTATCATGTTTTTATTGTTTTTATATCATGCCTCTGTTGTTGTAGTATCCTTTTGTTACTGTTTATTTATTAATAAAGTTATATATTATTTTCATATACATTTTACTAATTTCCTTTCATCTCTCACACTTCTATTATAGAGAAAGGGCAAATAGGTTAAAATATCTCTGCTAATTAATTCCCTTTTTTAAAATATACATATATGTTTTTGATTTTTTTCAGAGAGGAAGGGAGAGGGATAGAGAGTTAGAAACATCGCTGAGAGAGAAACATCGATCAGCTGCCTCCTGCACATCTCCCACTGGGGATGTGCCCGCAACCAAGGTACATGCTCTTGACTAGAATCGAACCCAGGACCCTTGAGTCCATAGGCCGATGCTCTAACCACTGAGCCAAACCAGTTAGGGCAATTAATTCCCTTTTAATGTGCATGAATTTCGTGCACTGGGTTACTAGTGCTGCTATAAAAATGAAGGAACTTTTACCATTTGCAACAGCATGGATGGAACTGGAGAGCATTATGCTAAGTGAAATAAGCCAGTCAGAGAAAGATAAATATCACATGACCTCACTCATATGTGGGATATAATGAGCAACATAATTTGATGAACAAAAATAGATCCAGAGACAAATGGCAGGGGTAGTGGGGGGTTAGAGAGCAACCAAAGGACTTGTATGCATGCATATTAGCATAACCAATGGACATAGACAATGGGGCGGTGGGGGCTTGGCCGGGGTGGGAATGGCTGAGGGGCTGTCAATTAGGGAAAATGGAGACATATCTAAAACTTCAGACAATTAAAAAAAGAAAAAGAAAATTGCATTACCATTGAAAATAATAATAAATGCCTGTACTGCAACCCAAATATATATGCTGTTCCCAAAAATTCATGCAAGGATTTGAAATCCAATTCAATTGCAAATCTTGTGTGAATTTTTGGGCCCCCCATATTTTTTGTGGCCCAGATTATTTATGGCTTACCCCCATCAGTACTTTCATTGGGCCCCCTTTTGCCTTCAAATACTGCAGTGATTTCTTCCTGGAGTCAAATGCCAAATATAATAAACATCTTATTTTTCTTGCTTACACCACAGGCAGCATCTACGCAAGGTGTCTGCAGCTCATTTCTCAGTGCATTGTGGGTCCTGGGGACCTTTCCCTCTTGGCATGGGGAGCATGTCTGTGTTTCCTCCCACAGGGCAAGCCTCCACTGCACAGGAGTCCCCATGGGTGGCATCTGAACTGTCTCAGACTTTTGTTATTATAACTGATGCTCTAAGAGAGAACTTTGTGCCCTGGCTGGTTTGGCTCAGTGGATAGAGCATTGGCCTGTGGACTGAAGGGTCCACAGAAGATTCTAGTCAAAGGCACATGCCTGGGTTATGGGTTTGGTCCCAATCGGGTGGCAGCCCATGACTCCCTCACATCATTGATGTTCCTCTTTTTCTCTCCCTCTCCCATCCTCTCTGAAATCAATAAAAATATATTTTTAAAAAGAAATAACTTTGTTCTTCAGTTATATCACATAATCCCGAGCTGATCTGGCAGATATATTCCTACAACTGGGATTTTGTAAATAAATAAGTAGTTTGGATTAAGGTTGTTCTACTCCACTCTCCCCCCCCCCCCCCCAATATAAGCTGTGTCAATTTATACAAAATTATACCAACACACGTCTAAGAGTGACTGTCTCCCCACAGTCCTGCCATCAGTGTTACCAACTACATGGTTTGTTTGCTGCCAATCTCACAGGTGGAAACGTCTCCCTGCTCAGTGAGACTGGACACCCTTCCCCGAGGTATTTCCTTCTGGGAACCGTTCATTTCTGTACTGAGCTGTGTCATGTTTTGAGGAGCTCAGCCCTTTCTCCAGGACGTGTCTGCACATACTTTCCCCACTTTGTCATGTGTTTGCTGACATTTACCATTTGCCCATCCCCATCGCCTGTCCCAGGTGGAGGCAGCAGGGATGCTCAGAAAATGTCTGTGACATCAACAGCTTCAAGGGGCAAAGGGCAACCAGGTCCCTGCTCTGAGCCTTATGTTCACTGCACAGACCCAGGTCAGCAGCAGACACTCAGGCCTCCTCCTCCCAGTGGACACAGCTGAGCTCAGTGTGGGGCCAGGCACTCACCTGCAATGGAGACCATGGCTGTCTTCTCCTGGCTGAGCAGGGGGTTTCTGATGACACAGGAGACCCCCTTCCCAGAGCCGCCTTTCAGGATCACAGATGACGTGACTGCGTACAGACCCTGTCCATCTGCAGCCCCAGGCGCTGCCATGGTGGGCAAGCTCTCTCCCCCGTCACCTCTCCACTCTACGTGGGGCTGTGGATACCAGCCTGCAGACGTGCACTCCACACGGATCCCTCCATCCTCATAGCCCTTCATTTCAACGTGAAGATCAGAGCCCAGGGCTGGGGAAGGAAGAGTGAGCCTGAGTCATGGGGAGGCCTCTGTGTTGGTGAGGGTCCATCAGGAACGGGGGCTCACTCCACTAGATCACACAGGCAGGGTTCACTAAGGAGCTGTTTACCATGTGTGCTGTGCAGGGGAGACTGTTCCATGACGTGACCACTGTCTGACCCTTGTGGACCCTCCAGCTCAATCCAGCTGGATCTGGGCCAGAACAGAGACTGCTTCCCATGGATCCCCTCAGAGACACCTGGACCCTCCCCCTGCCCAGTGCTGGTTCCTGGAACTGGCCCTCACCTGCCCCAGGCATGTAAGTCCTTCCCCCTTAACTGGGTGGGTCATGCCACCTATCTATGCTGTCTGTCCTGTGTGAGCTTTAGACTTTGCCAAGTGGAGGGGAGGATATGCATATTGTATTGCTGCCGCCCATGCTGTTCCTGGTATAAAAGTCGCCGTGCTGAACTCTTGATATCATTGATCTAGAGTTTTACAGCCTCTTTTTCGGATCTTTGGATCAGGGAATTTTTATTTTGTGGTTGTGGAAGGGGAAAGACTACATGGCAGAGAGCTGACCCAGGGCCAGGAACAGTGAGCTGTTACCACCAGTCCCTAAACTCTTAACCCAAGACGGTCGGGGGGCGGGGGGGGGGGGAGGTAGGGGTGGGAGGAAGCCTTTTGAAGACTTGTAAGAAAGCAAGTCATGTATGGAGAGGTTTCTTAAGAGGAGCTGTGGTCTCAGGAAGGGACTGTAAGTGGCTGAGGAGGCCCTGCAGGGAGAAAGCGAGGACCTCCAACCCCCACCTTCCTTTCTTTCCTTCCTGTGCAAGGCAGGGCTGTGCCTGTGAGAAAGAGGAAATGATGTTGGGACATGAACAATGTCATGGAACAGCAGCATCAGACAAGGATGCTTTGTCCCTGTGATGGGTCAGGACATAACAAGACCACTCAGTCATCAGATCTGAACACAAAATAAAACATGAACAGTGTCCAGACCACAGCAGTGAGCAATCATCCCCTGTCCTCGGTGTGAGTGACCAGTTACCCCCACACCCTCCTGACAACATCTGATCCAGAGCAAAGCCCTCCTTCCATAAACCCTCCCCTAGTCCTCTATCAGCCCAAAAGTTACACCAATTCTCCCTGACACCCCCTCATGGGGACACCCCATGTTTCCACACTGTGTGTTATACTCACTGCAACTAGTCCTAAACTCAACTTGTTCAACTGCAGGAGTGATCCTGGGGTCTTGGTTGGAAGACCTGGCAGCACAGGTGCTGTCCCTGCAGCTCAGCCTCCCTGGACCCACAAGAGCGAGCACCTGGGGGCCCAGGTCCACTGCCTGGAACACAGTTGAACCCACTCAACTGTGTGCCCCCGACGAGGGGAGGTTTTCTCAGCCTTCCTGCCCCGACCCCACATCCCTGCTGAGACCCTGGTGGCTACAGGAGGGGCATCTTCACTTGGTTCAGGAGGAGCCCTTCCTGCAGGAAATCCTGTGTCTGTCAAGGGCCCAGAGAAGCAGAGGTGGAGGAGGGAGGCACCTGCTGGGGTGTAGGCAGAAGTCTGTGAGGTGGGCTTGGAACCTGTGTCCCCAGACCCCACAGAAGGAGCTCAGAACAAACTCAGGCTCACCTGCAACCTTCAGCTCCACCTGGGCTTTTTCATAGAAATCAGCATCTTGGAAATAACACTGGTAGGTTCCACTGTCAGAGACTCTGACGTTGTGAATCCGCAGAGCAGCTTTCCCCTCAGCGATGTCCTCTCTTAAAATGGAGGTTCTCCCTCGATACTCTGCTATCTCTGTTCCTTCCTTGCCATCTCCATATGCACGCACCACCTGCCTGAGACCGGATCGCACCCACATCAGCTCCATGGACTCAGCGCTCATCTTCGGGGACAGGTGACAGGGCAGCTTAGCGACTTCACCCACCATGGCCAGGATGGGCTCAGGGGGTCCAATCACAGCAAACTGAGCTGGTCAGCAGAAAGGGGTGCTCGATCAGAGAGAGCTGGAGGCCAGAGGGTAAGGGGGTGTTGTAGGTAGGGAGGGTGAGGTAAGAAACACCTAGAGAGGGACTCAGTTCTGACAGGTTTACAGTGTGGATGGGCCTCCCAGGTGTGGTAAGGACTCCAAGGTTCTGACTGGGCATTACAGGTAACTGCTCCAGGTACATAAATGCAGATGGTCCCTACCTGAGCAGGGCGTGAGCAGCAGGACCAAGGCGAGGCAGACGGGGAGATGGAGCAGATGGAAGGCCAGGGACCTCACCATTGTGGGCTGTTGTGCAGACAGAGAGACACCAGAAGGAGTTGGTAGAAATGATGACCTGGAGGAAGATG